TAATAGAAGGGTAAAATAGTCAAAAAATGAAGAAAATGACGATTTGCGCCAAAAATGTGAAAGGTAGAGACGTTCTACGCCCAGAAATGAAACATAGGGACGTATTGCACAAAACCCGTCAAAGGTAGGGACGTTTTGCACCAATTACCCAAAATTCAAATAAAATTTCAAGTCAAAGTCAACAATTAAGTCACGCATTTTATTGAACCCATAATTTTTCAACCACGCTTTTCATTAACATTTATCAAAATCTACTAAAAATCTGATTTTAATATACCAAATAGGGCCTTAATCTCTCATCTTTTTTCAAAACTCATTTTCCCAAATTCATTTTTAACCATACATTCCATTGGACCCACAACTTTTTAATTACACATTTCGTTAATTTTTATAATATCTACTGAAAATATGTTTTTTTTTTATTTTTTATCAAAGCCAAACAAAGGCATGGTTTATCGTTTTACTTTTTGTGCTACACTAGCCCCTGTTTAGCCCTCATTATTTCTCATTAAGCCACTGTTTGAGTTACATTAAAATTTTCATTTTCATTCTTTTACTCATTTTTAACCACACATTATTCAATAAAATAATATTTTCTATCACGTCAATAACTTTTCATTCCTTTTGAACCACATATTCTATATCAATATACTATTTCAAAATACATTTTTTCAAAATAATGTGGTTCAAACACACCCTAAGGGTCCGTTTGATATCTATAATTTTCCATGGAAAATGAAAAATATTTTCCATTTTCCATCTTTTGCGCTCATTTTCTTGGTTTTCATGGAATTTGTTTTCCTACCACTTTGGTGGGAAAATGATTTTCCACCTTTTTTTAGGCAATTGGAATAATTTCAATCAACAATGGTAAAAAAAAATTTCTTTTAATGGACAATTTTCATACAAAACAAAGTCAAATGAATGGTGTTCGGTATGATAATTTTAAATTTTTTTTTTGGCAAGTAAAACAAATTTTAGACCAAATGGTAGAAAAATTATCACTTTAATGGACAATTTTCATAAAAAACGAAGTCAAACGGATACCAAATTTTTAATATTTTCCATGAAAAATTTTACCAATTAAACATAATTAATTATGCCTCTCAGTAAAACAATTACTAGAAAAAAATTTTCCCCATAAAACATTTTCTTTCCACCCATTTTCCACTCTCGCAATCAAATGGACCATAAATTATAATTTTTTTTCTTATCAAGCACACATTTTATAATAAAATAATATAACACGTAAATCCTTAAACTTTTCATTATTATTTAACCACACATTCTCTAAAAAAATTATTATTCATCTCATTATAATGTCTCATTATAATGTGAAATAACGAGAGCTAAACATGCGCTTAGAGCCTCGTTAGGGATGGTAAAATTTTCCATTCCATTCCCGTCTCGTCTAGTCCCGATTCTTGTTTTATGTGTTTAAATTCAAAAATTCCAAATTATAATACTTGTTCAACAGCCAACATACTGTAATGGCTTGTTTGGTAGATATTCTTATTTTACTACAGTAAATCAATTATCATTTTCAACCACACATTCTTTAATAAAATAACATTTTCCATTACATCAATAATTTTTTTTTCTTTTTTAACCACATATTTTCCATCATATCACTATTCAAAATCAATTCTTTCCCAAAAAATTCCTACCAAACAAGATATGACTCTCTTTCCTATTTTCACTTATAAAATAATATTGTGGGCAAGTCAAAAACTTTTCTTTCAATTTTAATTACACATTTTTCATTATTCTATTATTATTACAAAATGCTGTACTAAAAATAGAAGTCAAACACCATATTTATACATTCCTGTCTCTCTCCCTCCCTCCTCTCTGTATACATATTTCTATAAACAACAGTGTCATCAATGGCGTCTTTAAGCAAAAAAAGTTCCTGCTTTTTTTTGAAGAAAAGTATATTATTTTCAACAAGTAGTAGCACTTTGGTGGATTCTCCTTCACTTGCACAGAGACTTAGAGATCTGCCCAAAGATCTTCCTGGAACCAACATCAAGAAAGAAGCTTCTCAGGTCCCTTGATGAACATTATTATTTTTATTATTATTATACATTTGCTTATCGTTTCAAGTTTAGTTGCAGGATTATATTTATATATTCTTCTTTATCTTCTTCGCAGCTGCCTGCTTCAATATCCAAATTATGTTTATTAGTATAATAGTTATCAACTCGAGAAGCTTAAAATGTACTTTTCTAAAACACCTTTTCTAAGTTTTTCTGGGTCAAGATGTACTTTTTGGCTTTACCCAAACAACTAAGTCCTGTATGACAGAATTTATGCTTTTATTTTTTTGCTTATAGCAAACTTTCTCAGCAAAAAAGCTATACTAGTTTCCTCCAAAAGACCTTGTAATAGACAAATCATTTTTTAAAAATTATTCAAGTATGTTTAGAAACAGCTTTTGACTTTTCAAAATCTTGCCACATGGGCCTAATATTTGTAACAAAAGCACTTTTGACCTTCAGATAATGCTTTAGGCTTTGGAAAAGTCATTCCAAACACACCCTAAAGCCTTAAACCACTGGCTGGTATTGCACTGAAAAGGATGAACTATGAATGGAGGATTATTGGCCCCTTTTTCCTATTCTTTGATATAACGCTACCAACTTAGGCATTTTTTATTTTGAATTTATTTTTGAATTGTTCTTTTTGTAGAGCAAAATGAATTAAATTATTTTTTAAGTTTTTTTTCCCTCAAATAATCTGTTCTTACATAAAATTCACAAAACAATCAATTTCAGTTGCACCTTTCTTACTGATAAGTACTTGAGGTCCCACCAGTTTCACTGGTTAATAAAACTAACAAGATTTTAGCTCTTTTCTCCATATTTTTCAATATTTTCCATTACTTTGAACTTGGAACGGGAGTGAAGAAAATTAATGATATCTTTTGAGTTGTTTTTTACTACAAGTTGCTCAAGAATGTCACGAATACTGCAATAAAATGATCAGGATGTTTGTTTATTCTTTGAGCTTTATGATGTAATAGTAGAATTATAAAATTAAACCCTATTGAAATTCGCTTCTCCATCTATCGACCCCGAGCTCGTCATAGCCCAAAATATTTGTCTTGTATCGACTAAAAAGCGAAAATATTTGTACTTCTTTGTCACTGTTAAATATTGGTTGCTTAACAATTTTGGCTCCAATGGTGTAGCCCAAATTGGAAATCCAATTAATGGCCCTATGATGTTGAGTCCAGCCCATCTTGAATGCAAACCGACATCCCATTTTCATTGTGTATTCTCGCGTTTTAACTGAAATGCGACTTTGGTTATTTATTTTGATGGCTGAGATGATGCCATGTGGAATGGTTGTGACCGTTGGATGCTTCTAACTATTTGTATTATTGGCTTGACTTTTCATTTGCGTCTCGTCTTCGAGATTATTCTTAGGATTTTCTCTATTCTGCTATCTGTGTATTCTCTCTGAAAACCTTTGATTTTCGCCTTGTAATCTTTGATTCTAGATTTTTTGGTGAGGTCTAGTGTTAATTAAGGTGTGGTTGTGGTGAATCTATTCTTTGTTTTGAGCAGAAACCTTTGGTTACTTTGTGTAATTTGTTGAGGGTTTCTTGAGAGAAAACTTTTGGGTCTGAGGGCATAATTTTTTGTGGATATCTGTATTGTGAAACTTGTATTGATTATTCGCTGATTTCTAGTGGATTGGAGCGATAATCACTTTGGTGTATGCTCAACGGATGATTAGCCTTAATTTGGGCGAACATCCGGGCCTACGGGCAAAAATCCATTGTGTTCTTTAATTTCTGTAATTACTTGGTGTTTTTGGGGTCTGTATAATACCAACAATCACCAAGGTGGACCAAGGTGGAAAACAATGTCTTTTTTGCTTGTTTGATAAAACTTTATGAAAATTTCATCAACTTGTCGAACTTCAATTTTAATTACACATTTCATGAGATCCACGACTTTTATTAACTTTTCAATAACACATTTAATCAATTTTTATCAAAATGTGCTAAAACTTTTATAAAAGCTTTGTCACACACCCCCGAATATGACTGCATATATTCACATAGAATTTCCATTTTCTCTCATGATCATAATGTTTAATATGAAAAAAGCTTAAGCTAGTCGGCTTTTCTATTGATGAATTATATTTTCAAAATGTAGCTCATTGGAAGAACTCCCCTTGTTTATCTTAATAAAGTAACTGAAGGCTATGGTGCTTATGTAGCTGTTAAACAAGAGATGATGCAGCCTACCTCTAGCATCAAAGACAGGTAATCTCATTCATATATACCTTGTTTCATTTCTTCATACCTCAAATTTTGCACATTTTATGCTGTCATATATTCAATATGTTCGACCAGTACGAACTTGGCTAAATACAATCTAATAGAATGAAATTATTGCTTCTGGTACCAGACCAGCACTAGCGATGATCAATGATGCTGAAAAGAAAGGCTTAATCACACCTGGACAGGTAAGTTAAAGCATGTTCTTCAACTTTTTGTATCTGAATATTTTTGGTAATGGGATTGGTTTCATTTGTCTTGACAACAATGGGATAGGTTAGCGAGAAAATTGTTCTTCAATTTATTGGTTCATGACATGCGTGGCAGAGAGGATGGAATAATACTGAACATACTGAGAAAGAAAAAGAAACTAAAATCTTGTTTGCTATAGTGTCTAATATGTCCAGTTCCGGTTCCGTATGATTTTTGAACTTTTGTATTGAATTTTAGACGACTTTGATTGAGCCCACCTCGGGAAACATGGGGATCAGCATGGCGTTTATGGCAGCCATGAAAGGATACAAAATGGTACTTACAATGCCCTCATACACGAGCTTGGAACGAAGGGTCACGATGAGGGCATTTGGAGCTGACTTAATCCTCACAGATCCTACCAAGGGAATGGGTGGGACAGTAAAAAAAGCTTATGAACTTCTTGAATCCACACCAAATGCTTTCATGCTTCAGCAGTTTTCGAATCCCGCTAATACTCAGGTATCCAAATTCGATGCTCCCCCAAGCTTGCTAAAAACAAAGCTGAAATATTTTTTGTTGTCCAATCATATTCAATAATGCGAACCAGAATGCTGTGACTCTTCATCAGCTTAGATTATGTTTTCTCTTATTGTATGTAATTGAACTCTATAAACTTAAAAACAGGTGCATTTTGAGACTACCGGTCCTGAAATATGGGAGGATACTCGTGGTCAAGTCGACATTTTCATTATGGGAATCGGAAGTGGAGGCACTGTCTCAGGTGTTGGACAATACCTAAAATCCAAAAATCCCAACGTTAAGGTAAAATTGTGATATATTAACTATGCATGATTTGCACATCAAATAATGCATTTCATTTATATATTATTTGCCCTTCCTTTTTTTCTAGATTTATGGACTTGAGCCTGAAGAAAGCAATATACTGAATGGCGGTAAACCAGGTCACTCGTCAACATTGTATCATCTCGACTTGATCTTCTTACATATTTCATACTGCTTCAGTTTCCGTATTTTCCTTTAAAAATGAGAGAATCCCAGCTGTTAGGGGTTGGAATGATGACTTCCCATGCCATACTTAAAATTCAAAAGAAAAGAAGTGCTAAATATATTTCGTCTCTAATCTAGGCCCTCACCATATTACTGGCAACGGAGTAGGATTCAAGCCGGATATCCTTGATATGGATGTAATGGAAGAAGTTCTTATGGTAATCGCACTCATTTTTCATATGCAATGTAATTCAAGAAGATCTAGCATTAAGCTAATTGGAGAAATAAATGTTGCAGGTTTCTAGTGAAGATGCTGTGAATATGGCTAGACAGTTGGCTCTAAAAGAAGGGCTACTGGTAATAACTCAAACACACTTTTTCTGTTTTCCCTCTCGGGGAAAAAGACATTCTTGTTATCTGGTTCGACTTTGGCAAGCGAAAACAATCTGTATAGTTCTTTATTGTTGTTAACGGAATGCCTTCATGGTGTAGGTTGGGATATCTTCAGGAGCTAATACTGTTGCAGCCCTTAGACTTGCTAAGAGGCCAGAAAACAAAGGCAAACTCATTGTGGTATGAATTAATAGCAAAACACTGATTCTTTCCATTAGATGATTATCTGAGTGCATGTTTGGCAAAGCTTAAATTATAATCACTTAAAAGCACTCCCAAGCATGCTAGTTCTTCTCGTTTCACTTGATTTCCTGTCTAACTCCTGTAAAAATGTCGATTTTCAGACTGTGCATCCAAGCTTTGGTGAACGATACTTATCGTCGGTTCTCTTTCAAGAGCTTAGGAAAGAAGCTGAAAATATGCAGCCTGCTTCAGTTGATTAAGGCTTTTACTTGTTGTTGAGCTTTATGAACTGTGTGGAACAAATTTCTACTTGTAAAAGCAGATTATGATGAACAGATTCTCCTGTAGAGAATTGTTTTGAATTCATGTTCTTCGGTCTTAGGCGTTGTTTGAGACACATTATTTTTTCCATTCTCATTTTTCAATAAAATAATATTTTTCATCACATCAATAACGTTTCCTTCTTTTTTAACCACATTCTCTATCACATCAAACAAAAAAAATGTATTCTTGAACTCAAAATGTGCACCAAACAAGGGTTTAATTATAATCAGGTAAGTGCTTATTGATATTGCCCGTGGATATATCAGTTATCATAGTTCTTTATAACTAGGTGAGATGTGTCAGACAAAATAGGTTGTGTGGGCCGTCCGACTATGCTGGCTCGAAGCACTATGTGTTGGAATTAATTGATTTATTTGGATCATTAAATATATTGTTTAATGATATTTATTTGGGTCATTAAATATGTTATGTAATGATGTGGGCCGTTGTAATTAATTTGGGTGAATTGGAAAAGTCTCCAATATAGGCCCATATGTTATAAGCCCATTTAAGTGTCTTATATATGGTAAGGAATCCCACATCGAAAGTTTACAAGAAAATAGACTTGTTTATATAGTGGGATATGTGTATAAGTTATAATTTAATAAGTGACCTACAACTTGACTAACTATTAGCTAGCCAAAGGCTAGCTAACTAGTCACCACGAGAGTGGTGCTTCGCACCACTCACGCCACGCCACGCCACGCCCCGGTCCCGGTCCGGGCCCGCGCACGTCGCAAAGTACGCATTGGGCGCTTTAGAGGTGCACTTTGCACTTCGCACGTACGCATCGTCGCGAGGAGCTGAGGAGCCTTATAGTTTTCAGAAATGGAGTCATGGCGATGAGAGGCTCGATGAGTTGGCATCCTAGGTGGCACACACGTAACAGGTCACGTCACTTCGTTCTGCAGGCGGTTGGTCCTGTTGGACGTACGCGTGGCAACTGCATGGCTGATGACTGTTCAGAATTGGTGAATAGGAATGATGAATGGACACTACATTTCGTGGTTTAATCGGTCCGTCAGATTATGAAAGAGTGCGATCCAATGGCTAAAACAGATTAGATCAAGTGGTGCACCAGTTCATGAAAAGTTACACACCCTTTCAAGGAGACACTTCAATCTATATAAATAGAGACCTCCAAATTCGTTTTTTGGACACCAAAATCAATTAATATATTCTTGATTTCTAAATTCTTCTCGCTCCATATTCTGCTAAAATTCCTTCGATATTTTCGTGATTATTTTGTTCGAGTACGATCATTATTTGGTTCGACCGTCAAGGTTGGTATTGTGCAATATCGACTTTGGGAAAAGCGTTGTATCTTTGGAGACAGACGTCCATAATCCCGTTTACACGTTGTTGGGGGGCGAAATCTGTCTTAAGGAGATTTGCTTTGGCATACCTCGCTTCATCTTTTTTTTTTTTTTTTCCGTTTTTCCTGCTCTTTTATTTGTTCTTTCGAATGGAATAGTCGAATTTTCGACAACACTATGCAAGAAACGTATCATTAAATAACAAATAGAAAATTTCAAGTTATGAAATAAATTTCAAAGTTGAGTCATTTTTAATTTTCTAGGCGGCCCTTTAAAAAAAGGATCATGTAGAGTGATCCCTTAATAAGGGATATTTGCTCAAATAATTGACGAGGTTAGTCTCACTAGGATTGGAAGAATTTCGACTTGATGTTAGGGATTGCGGTTTTTTTTTTAAGTCAAAGTCGAACGTGAAATGCACATTATTGTGAAATATTTTATAAGTGTTTTAAAAGTAATATTTGATATCAATTTGTTGGGAGAATGTGATAAGTCTCAAACGAACTAAATAAAATAAAAATTTAAGAGAAAAAAAATTGTATTCTCAAAACCCAACTTCTATTATTTAAACTTTTTGTGATGATGAAATACTATAAATGAGCAATTTTTTATACTACATTTGGTATATAAAAATTAATTGCTAACACATGAATTTAAACACCCATTAAATTTTTTAGATATATGAATAGAAATATACTCCATCCGTCCTATTTATATATGCTTATTTTCTTGTCCCAATTATATATTCTTGTTTTTTTATTAAGAATGTTTTGTTTTGTTCGTTTACTAATATACTCATATTTCTTTACTACTTTCAATAATAATTTACTACTAGTTATTAATAATTAAATGAGGGTAAATATGAAAGTTTTTGGCAAAAATTGCTTTTTCAATAACATTAAATAAGATTTTTTAATCCGTGTAAAAAAACGAAACAATCCTATATAAATGAGACAGGGGAGTATTCATTTATATTAATTCTAGATTCATGTAGATCAAAATTCATTAAATCAAGATTCATTGAATCGAGATTAATGAAAATGTCAATTAATTGAGAATTAATAACACGAAATTCATACATGACAAGAATTTTGTAATATTTATTACAAATTGAAAAATGAAAAGTCTATTATTGGAATAAATGAATTGCAGTGAGGTTAAAATTGTCCAACAAATGATTCTTATTTGATGTGATATTTAATAAATTATATTATATATACATTTTTAGAAAAATAATGTTGTTTCCACATTAATTTACCGATTTTAATGTAGCTACCTTGGATAAAATTTATTAGAAAAATCATAAAATAATTTACATTGATTTCTTTTCCAAATACCGTTATGATTTTAATTTAGCTGCCAAAAAGTCATGATATCGTAATAAATAATTAATACACTATTTGAAAATTTGACAAATATAAATAAATAAAAAGAGATTGAATAAACTTAAAAAAAATAAATAAAAAAAATACTCTCTACATTTCTATTTACTCAAATCTTACAAAGCTCTTCAGAAATTACATTTTCTTATCTTCTAAAACTAAAAAATAATCTTAGACGTAATCGTAGAGTTTTCATTTTACACTGCAATAAACATGTGTTGTTTGAGTTTGACTCTGAATTTCAAGCCCATTTAAGTTAAAGATAAGTAGATTATGGGTGCAATAAGCAGTACAATTTTGCCGCATTGACATCTTTTGAAACTTTAGTTGACATCCCATGATGTATAAAAAAATTGATTCGTATAGACACTAGTGAACGGAAATTTGCAAAAGCAAGATTAGCCAATGGATTTTTGAATGGAATCGTTAGAGGTCCTCCTCTTGCATAGTTTTGAAAGATTTGAGGGCTATTTGCTATTGTTTAAAAATTGGGTTTAATTTATACTATTTGAATAAGTTTGAGACCTCCACTACAAATTTACCTAAAAATAAATATGATCCCAAATTTTAGTTTTAACTATAAAATTTTCTACCGAATCCACAATTTTTATCAATTTTTTAACCATATATTTTATTATCAAAAAAAATATGAAATCTACTCGTAATTTATGATTTTGATAATTCAGGGTGTATTTGAGCCATATTATTTTGAGAGAATATATTCTGAAATAGTAGATTGATGGAGAATTTGTGGTTGGAAAAGAAAGAAAAATTATTAATATGATGGAAAATATTATTTTATTGAAAAATATATTGTTAAAAATGAGTAGAAGAATGAAAATGAAAATTTTAATGTGTACCAAACAGGGCTCAATAAAAGATCACCGTACTATTACAAACCTACCAAATTCACAAAATCTATTCAAAGGGACGGACCGGACCGGACGATCTTCCTCCAAATTACACTGACCCGACCATACTCCCATGCTTTTTAGTGCGAGAGAGTGAAGCAATATTTTTGACAGCAAGGAAAAAGAGAAATACAAATTATTATTTTCCGAAAATAATAGGTAACATATAGATATTCCTAAAGGTCTCCAAATTGGAAGATCAGAAATTAAATTCTGAAATTAAAGAATTTTTGGTGCTAAAATTAGTCGACCAATTGGGGACAAGCAGTCAAGTCCCTCCAAATCCCGTATTTTTTGAGCCTACTTTCTTACAAGCTTTGAATTTGCGAATGGATTGAACGATTCTCTAATTCTTTGTTTAAATTTTATGGGTTCATTTACAGGTTCGGATTTATGCTTTTGGTGAATTTTTTTGTTGAATTTCTCTAATGCAATCGGGGGCTGGGGCCCACCAAGACCGCGGCGGAGGCGGGCATGGGTCCGCTTCGCCGTCCTCCTCCTCCTCAGCGGTGTCGGCTCCGCAGCTAGCATTTGATCAGCAGCAGCAGCAGCAAGCAAGACAGGTTAGGTTTTATAAGTATGTGTGTGTATGGCAAGTGGGTGTGCGTGAAGTGCAAAGTTGAGATTTTTTAATTTTCAGTATTATAAAAAAATGAAATTGAAAACCTTTCAATTCTAGTCATACAATTTATTTTATTAACTAATTTTTTCCCATCAGTTGCTGAAAATACTATGTTTCCCTTTTTTCAGGAAAAAATTATAATCTTTCTAATCGGGTCAGATTTTGAGCTTTCTCTGTTGATTTGAAACTAGGGTTTTGAGATTAGCATTCTCACTGGCTTCTGGGATGCTTTAATTTGTATTATTCATTAACCATAGAAAAATTATGCAAAATAAATTTATCAGATTGTTTTACCTTTTTCTTCGAGAAATTAAGATATGTGAATTGTTATTTTTTCACTGTTTTCAAAGTTGCAGCAAGCTATGAATATTTTGGATCTATAAAAGAATAGTGTTTCAGATATAACACATATTTAAAGAAGAATAATGCTATTTGTACAACTTTGTTGACAATCTATGTGTTGTTAAGATCCGTCCATTTTTTAAATGGATGGTGTAGATTCCTGCCAACTCTTGGTTGTCAACAAAGTTGTTAACCATGGTTATACATGTAGCATGGTTCTTTAAAGAATTTGTGCGCATCTAATTTATTGGATTTGTTATATTTTTGAATCTAAATGAAACTAGCTGCATATGACTCATTCTGACCCACTCTCTTACTCAACATCTTTTGCAGTCGTTGCAACAACAATTTCTGAGGAGACCT